ACCGAACCCGGCCCGTGCACACACAAAAAAAAAAAAAGAGGAAGAGGAAAAAACACCAACAGTGAAAAACCAGGTAAAAAAATATATAATGAATCGTCCATTAAATGTGGAAAGAAGAAGTTCACACCTGAAGAAGTGGTTGTTGCCCCACAAGATTCTGTCACCGTGATGCAGCTGCACTGGACTGGTGACGGCAGAACCATTTACGCACGTGCTACGGAGAAATAGGTATTTTAGACACCAAAAGTGTACGCACGAGAAAAACTTTTCAACTAATAAAATAAGTTAAAAAAAAAAAATCGATATACTTTATAACAATATACTTTACTTTATAGTTATCATATCTGTTGCAACAAAAACCTACGGTTTTTATACTATGCCTGAACCTGGCTTGTCAAGACTAGATTAGTCTTCCAAAATAAAAGTATGCATGCTTGAATGGCTTTATGTCACGTGTCAAACTCAAGGCCCGGGGGCCAAATGCGGCCCGCCAAGCCGTCTTATGTGGCCCGCAGTAGCTTAAAAAGCATTTAGTAAAGTCCCTGCAGCAGCAGAGTTTCTTAACCTAAGAATTTTTTTTTTATTACACAGCAATAAACAATATTTGTACTATATTAGATTTTCAAAATAAAACCTCTTTTAGACTCTATTCTGTTTGTATCAGTCTGAATGACCTATCATTTTAAAATATCGCCAGATTATCTTTAAATAAAGAAAGGAAATGGATATGACTGGATTTTCTTTGAAGGAAGGAAATTAGTAAAAATCAAGTACATTTTTTAATCATTGTGTCCCACTGCGGCCCGGGACCAAATGACCTATGGACTGGTACTGGTCCGCGAACCAGGGATTGGGTCTTCTATTTACAACCGGCCCTTCAAGGGGATCTGTATTGCTAATGTGGCCCCCTGGTGGAAATGAGTTTGACACCGCTGCTTGATGTGATAAATATGTCCTAAATGTTTGTCCTCAACAGGGACGATCTCAACCTTATGTAATAATTTTCACTAAAAAGACGCATGTTGTCCGACCTCCAAGTTGTTCTAAATTTTAAAAGGTTTTTTTTTTCCTCTACGTACCGAGCGTTGACGTGAGGAGTGAGCACCACGTTGTTATTTTCCGTGATGTCAATGACGCAGTGCTCAGTTTGGATGGCCATCCCGCACAACTGGATGTCCTGCGAGTCGGCGGAGCCGACACGCGTGTGCTCCTGCACGTGAGAGAGAGACACACACACACACGGGAGAGTAAAGATCTGTCAGTCAATCAGCTGGCGCCACCAGCGCGGGTGCGTTAGTTCGCGTACGTGCGCGGTACCTTCAGGTAATAAACCAGCAGCTCGTTCAGAGCAGGGTCGGCATTGAGATTGACGAGGAAGCATTTGTCGTCCACCACTCTGATCCCAGACGACTGCAGCGAAATCCCCAGGCTCTCCAGCTGCCTCTGACGCTCCTTGAGGAAAAACATTTGTAAATAATTCATTTTTAAAAATTTTAGGAATTTTGTGTGGACGGCGAAGGAGTTTGACTCACCTGTGCAATAGCCTCGGTCTTTCTGAGCTTCTCCTCCCAACTCACTGTCATCTCTTGGATCAGTTTCTCCGATTCCTCCAGACGATCCTTCAGCTCCGGGGCCTTCATGGACTAAAAACAAAAAAGACAGAAATCGTTGAGCTCTGCTCGTGGTAGAGCGTCATATGAACCGTAGCGATGTCTACCTCGGCCTCTGAAAGCTGCTCCTTCAGTTTCTCCACTTCTTCCCGCAGCTCCCGGATGATTCTGGCATTTGGGTCTTCGTTGACCACGGCGTGGTTCACGATGTTCTTGGCCCTGTCGGCGTAAC